CACTGGTAGGGATTTAATAAAATTATAATTTAAGGCCCTGTTACAAGCATAATGCCTAAATTTTCTAAATTGACTTGTGTGCAAGTGGTTTCAATAAAGAATTATTTAAGTGCGTGTGTGCTCTTTGTGATTGAAATAAACATTACAAATGAAAAATATACCAGTTTGTCATTAGTGTCGCATACACCTTTACAAATTACCTGCCTAACCTCGTATGATTATGGATAAGTGACAGACAGACAAACAGGCAGGTAGGCAGTTAAAACGCATACAACGGACAGAGAAAAAGCGCAAAGCCCACTTACATCACTATTCACATAGCGCGCTTGTTAAACCTAAAACAATACCGTCGAGATCTGTGTCTACAAAGAATGGAAGACAAGAAACAGAGAGAAAGGCCAGATAGATTGGACAGATACAAACAACAGATCGAAGGACAGACAAACAGCTAGCAGCGAACACTCACATTCACAATATTTCAATTATACCTCACGTATATAAGCCAACAGGCAGACATATACAGACATTCCTTCAAAATATACGATCCTCAGTATGAAGAATAGAAGGCAAGGGAATGACAGAGAGACAGACAGCCCTTCAGCTACTACCAGTCATTACGTTTTTGATTGATTGCAACATGTGATACATCACATGCTTGGCTCTTTCGGGTTTGGATGCAACATGTTGTATGTTACATGTTTAGCACACTTCCACATTGCTGAGATCAGCTTAGTAAAGCCAGTGTCTTTGGGCTATGTGGAAAAAACAAAATTTTTGTTGAGTTCTTCAATCTTTCAAAATGACATAAATCTAGACATATTAACATTTTGAAATAAGTGTGAAAAATATTGATAAACTATAAGACCTCAGTAAATTGACGAAAATTTTAACCAATCACAAAGCATTGATATAACTGGACGTTCAATCAGACATGACGTGGTAATGGTCACCATGACAGTCACTGTCATGGTAACGGCAGGGCATGTCCGTACTCTGTCTGACTTTTTCACAGTGACATATGAATGCTACTTACATTCTCAAGTCCCCTGACCAGTTGATTTTTCATTACAGCGATGAACTCCTTGTTGCTTAATTCTCCATCACCTACAATACCATAAAATTGCTTGTGTGACGTTCTCTGCTGCTAATATTTCCCGCTAAACAGTTGCGCTTGCTACTGTTGCTTCTGTCGTTACCGTTTTGTATGTTAATATTGCTGCTGTTGTTGTCGCTGCTACAGTACCACTGCTGTTACTATTACTGCTGCTGCTACTACTGCTACTGCTACTGTTCCTACTGCTACTTTCGCTGTTCCTACTGCTACTACTGCTGTTTCTACTGCTACTACTGCTGTTGCTACTTCTGCTGTTGCTACTGTTACCACTGCTGTTGCTACTGCTACTACTACTGCTGCTGCTACTACTGCTACTGCTACTTCTGCTGTTTCTACTGCTGTTGCTACTTCTGCTGTTCCTACTGCTACTACTACTACTACTGCTGCTGTTGCTAATGTTGTTGCTAATGCTAATACTACTCCTTTTATCGTAGCTACTACTCCAACTAATATAATACCTTTACTCTGAGTTCTATCACTGCTACTGACACTGTCAGAACCTAAATTTAAAATTTTCATAGTTTGTCAGAAACATCAGATGAATGGGGAGGGAATGAAGGCACCTTAATCAAAATTTGCCTCCAAGAAATTATTTTAATTATTTTTTTATCTTAAAAGTTCTATACATTTTAAAATTTGCATTTTCAAAAGGGCTGGGTTTTAGAGTTCATTGCCCAAATTATATTTAAATTAAACTCTCAACTTACCATTTTCATCAAACATGTGGTAAACAATGTCAATGACATGATCATCTAATGTAACCCCAGCGATTGTCCTTGCAACTCTTTTGAAGGTCTCTGGGTCTATAGCTTTATTAGCTGCATTATGAAAGCTTAGGGCGACTTCTGCTTCACTGATGTTTCTTAAGAAGTGGAAAAAGTTTAGATAGTTCTGAAAAGTAACTCCCTGAAAAAAACAGCAACAAAAACAATTGTCATCTACTGTGTATAGTATGAGAAGATATAGCTAGCTAAAAACTAGTGTGAGCTGTGTCTGTGTTTCTAATGAAACAGTAATGATGAAAAGGTAAATAATACACCGTGAAAAGATGAAAAAACTTACTGACGTTTCGGACGCTAGTCCTTCGTTGGAGTATAGTGTATAGTGTATAGTATGAATAATTTCAATAGTATACTCTCCTCAGACTCTCCCTACTTCTTGGAAATTCCATTTGTTAAATTCTCTTTATCTACAATAAACAGTTCTTAGACTTTCCTCATTCTTTTGGGAGGTATTCAGCCATATGAAAAAGTATTGTATGACTACAAAACATATGCTGGTATAGAGCACTAGAGATGGAGAGTTTCTTAAAACCAGGGTATACAAGACCCCCTGCAACTTCACAACTCCTTCCCTTACAAGTACACTGTAGTCAGAAAACTTGATCTACCCATACCTCTGGGTTATCTTTGAAAGCCTTCTTCACTCTTTTGAGAATCTGCTGTTTCTTTTTTTCATGGAAGTTAGAATATGTCAACAGCATGTCGGCAAACTGCCTTTCTGTTATCCTACCATTTTCTGGGTCGTATGACAAGAACTGAAACAGACAATATAGGCGACTGTAGCTAATCTTATTCATTCACTATCAATGTAACATAAAGGAGAATTTAAAACTAAGATTTGAAAAAAAACCTCCAATACTGTGTACCCAAAGTTGGCAACCACAATGCATTCTGGTCTAGATTGGGTACAGGGAACACCATTTAAGAAATCGTGAACACAATATTTTTTTATCCAAACTAAACCAGTATGATTCATGTTGGCATCTTAAAGAAAGGACTACCTTGTTGAAATGATGTATGGTAAAATTCTAGTGCTAGTAATAGTCCCTTTCACAGCTCCCTGTGCCATCTTGAAAGGTAGCTGTGACTTTGCATCGAAGTGAAACAAACGGTGGGCTTGCAATGATAGAGACATTTTTTCAACACCTTGGACATTTATTCACATGTCTCTATCATTGTAAGCTCACTGTTGTAATCATCTTGCTTCGACACACAGGCATGGCTTCCTTTCAAGGTGGTGAAGGGAACTGTGAAGGGGACTAGAAGGTTAAAATGTCATACAACCTTACATGTAACTCACCTCTAAATACATTACTTCACTTTGTAGCTTCTTTTGGAATTCTATAAACTTCTGTCCCGTAAGCTTCTCTTCTCCGTTTTCTCCAAAGAAATAAACTTTAAGCCCAGTATTGATGGTATAATTCAAAACACTGCCAGTAGTTGAATGATCTCTGTGTCTGCTTCCAGTCGCTGTGGTGGAAAACAGAATATTTTGTACCTACAGAAAACAATACAAAGAAAAGGCGTTTGCAAAGAAATATTGATGGTTTTCAACCATTCCCAAGAGAATTAAATAACAAAAGACATGGCGGCCATGCTGGAGGATATAACAAAAATAATTCATTAACAATTCTTTTGTTAAGTTCCTCCAACATGGCCACCATGAAAACAATCAATACAGTAATCAGTGAGTGGCTAAAATCCTTAACCTTTGATTTTTGTCATGTTCTCCATCTGTCAATACAATTTACTACTCTTAAAAGTACCATATTTTCTAGATTTAGTGCAAGCTTAGCCTTGCTTTTGAAATAGAAAACAAGGGCAGAAATTAGAATAGTGTGGTGTTTTTAAGAGTAGCGTAAATGGGCCATGTGTATGGGCAGAGTTCTACAGAGTGGCTAGCTCTTTTCTCTTAATCCAATTGAAATATAGTAGCTGATTTTTGCAGATTGGAAAATCAGAGAAAAACATTACCAATTATAAATTAATGCCGATTTTTTATGCACTCCCTTGCCTTCCTCAGATTACTGAATCTGCCTATGTTGCATACAATGGTAGCAGTGTCTATTACAATTAATACACATACTTTTTCAAATTCCTCTGGTGACACTTCACCATCTCCATTTAAGTCAAACATTTGGAATGCAACTTCATACATTCTTGGAGGCACTAAAATGTAAAAATGTTAACATTTCAGAATAAACTAAAGACCTTAATGATCACACCTAACAAGAACTTAACAACATGTGACTGCAGAGCTTTGTCTTTACTAGGCAGCCTTGTTCATCCACACAAAAATAAAAACTATTGTTAAATCATGGGTCCACTTATCTAATAGCACTTTATATGTACAGGTACTGTAAGTTTAGACTGACAATGTTTTGTTTTAGAGAACTGGCCTAATTTTCCCCCATATCATACCATTTGTCATTCCCAAGAGTTTCATTACTTTATTTATGTAATGGTTGCACATGAGAAGACACATGAATATGGAGACAACTCAAACAAAGAATCTTTATTCTCAAGAGAATGACAGTAGTAACATGGTCTGAAATGGATAAACATTGCACTAAGACGAGTTAGGTGTATTTGGTTTTGTGATCAGATAAAGTAACATGTTATTGTACTATACTTACAAGATAGAACAGTAAGCAAAAATATGTAGTCTGAGAAAGATACAAGTCCATAGTCACCCATCTTCATGAACACACTGTTCTCATTGTCAAATTCGTTTGACTGATAGCCTTTGTATTTGTGTTTCTAAAAGACAAGATAAACAATTTATAAAGGAAATCTCTGTCTCAATAGCGACCTTTAGATCCGAYGACGAGACTACAAGAACAAGTATGAGATCTAAAAATGGTCCTGTGTGCATGGTTAACGCTGAATCATAGTGGATTTCAGATTTTTTACAATCCAAAGTTTTAGTCTATGTACACGACCATGACTACAGAATGATAATGCCTCTCTTGAAAAGTTAAAAACTTGTGCTTGTACTTGTTCTCATACTCGTCGTTGGATCTAAAGGGTCTCTAATATGTCAGATAGATAATGTACACGTTAAATTAAAATTTGTGCAACATGGTGTGTAGGACATCCAGTAATCATACATTACATAGTTACATACATACAATCATTTTTTTATTACTTATACTATAAATATTTACATTGCACAATAGAAAAYTAATACAAAAGAAAAGTAAATGCTACTCAAAATAACTATAAAGCTAATCTAGTTGAGTAACAATGTCCAAAGAATATTTCTGCATGTAAATTGTTGGACGTTATTACAAGGGTAAATTTACTATGATAACTTTAATTATTACATACAGTATTTATCAGTGTACTTACCTCAGGATCAAATTTTTCAAATTCATCTAGACCATGTCCTGTGAATAAAAGAGCAATATAAAATACCCTGTAATAAAATACATAATTGTCCACATGTTCATACCTTCTGGCTGAATTTTTCCAGGTGTGAGTGACCTCACAAAGTCTTCAGGAGTCATAAAAACCTCATTCTCTTCTCCTGGATGAACAATCTTTAGTGAGGCAAAATACCTGAAGACTTTATCTGGTGTGCTGTACTGACGAATTCTATTCTCATACTCAATTACCTGAAGGGAATGGTAAAAAATAAATATCTGCTGAGAATACAGTTTTGAATCATGAATGATTGTAAAATAGCTTTGAGCATTGTTGCCACCTAGATTTGGAATTTTAGACAAAGATAACAAGAGTCCAATCAAAACAAACTGGTCATGCATGTTGTGAATTAGCTGGAATAGACCTTTTCTGATAAACATGGTGCATTGTGGCATGGTCTAGCTTGGATACAAACATCTGTTGTTTATCACACCTTCTATAGTATTGTTGTACCCAAGCCAGACCAGAATGCAAAGCACCTTGCTCATCGGATTTAGCAAAACCCCAATATAAACCCTATAGAAAATACATTTATTATTGCCGACCCCTCTCCAAAGTCCTAATAAAAGTCCTAATAAATAAAATCCTTAATAATTTTTCATTTTACTTACTCTTCTAGCTCTAAACCCTTTCTTCTTCTTCTTCTTTCTCTCATCTAGAACATCTTCACCGTGTTCCCCATCATCTTCGGTTTTAGTTTCTTCGATATTTTCTTTTTCTATGTGCGTAGCTCCTTCAGCTTTAGCTTTATTTTTAGTTAGCTGGTTGTATAACACATAAGAGCTACCAAAAAATCCCACAGCTGATCCTATCATGACGGAAACAAGACGAGCTCTTCGTTTCTGAGCCTCCTCCTTTCCTGGCTCTTCAGATTCTGTGTTGTTAGTCTTTTTGTCAGCATTTTCCTCTGTGACAACCGTCGAAAATCTGTTTTCTGGTAACGTAGTAACAAGATGCCGAGGTAGTTTCTTTAGTACACCTGAATTGTAGATGATACGAGGAATGTTTTGACGATTTGTGAAGGATCTTTGACACTGTAAACACCTTGAAAACATGGTCGAAAGATACGCCTCTAAACAACAGTCAAATCCAGTCACTCGAAAGAAGGTACTATTCTCTTTGAATTAGGAGTTAGTTAGTTTGAGAATGTTAAGTCTATGCTGGTATAATCATACTTTTAGAAGCACTAAGCTGCTCTCYTCTTCCTCCTACTTTGACAAGATGGCGTCTGTGATGTGTTTTCATGGGGTCCCTGTGGTTTATCCACAGGAAACCCAAATGCAACACTCAAATTTTTGGTCTATGAGTAATAGACAACTAGTAGCAGAAAGTGCTGGTTTTAAGTGGTTTTGAAAACCAAAACAATGGCGGTAGACAGCTAGTTTTCGACCTAATTTCAAATATTTTTTTTCGTCCTATAAAATATTGACTCAGGCTCGTAGACCATTCGGGCTCCGGGTTTAATTGTAAGTTAGAGATGCCCATCATGGTTTCAAAAGTTCGAAGATGATATATTACACATCGAGATGCATCATGTTCTACTAAATCAAACACTCAAAACAGCGGTTAGTCGTTAAAAAACGTATGAAGATGACTCAACCATAAAGTAAAAAACTAAAGYATGAATTACTATTAAATTTCAAGACGATAACATTAAGACATCACGTATGGTTTATGCGACCCWAAAGTAGACGTTTTATATTCTTGTCGTCTCATTGATATAATGAATTCGGGRAAAAATACTGGGCAAAAAGCATTCAAATGAAACGTAGGCGAAAATGAAGCTGTTGCATGCTATTTAGAAGTCGAGTACTTAGGACTAAGATACTAAACTATGACTGACTTAGACCGACAGCGCTCACTGAAACTCGGTACATTCTATACTTTATTGTAGTCCATTAGACTCACATGCCAACCTTGGCCTAAGATTTTAATTTCTGGAATCGCAATTGTAATAAAAGCTTTTGGACAGTTGATATCTATCAAGAAGCTGTTAAAAGTGGGGAGTCAGTGCGCAACCATAGGCTATGAGGCGCTGAGACCATATATACATTGTAATCTGTAAACGTATCTATCAGATTTCCCAATAAGATTATCAGTATAAATTTATGTCATCGCAACTGTAATACGTTTTAAACGCGAATATTATTTACTTAGCTGTCGTGCTAAAAATGAAAGTTTGAAAGAGTTTTTGACATTTTCAATAGTACTAAGCACCTTGCGATTTGAGAAGCAACTCAATTGGTTAAAAATCGCGATGAATAATAATGATCAGTAAAGTTCATTTCTGTCAGTAATGTTTCGAGCTTCAAAACTTAGGTAGTCGCTTTATTTTTATTTGACTTGGGCCGGATTTACTAGGAAGTTGAGATGACATCTAGGGCAAGGAAAACATCTTGGTGTTATTAGTATGCAAACACGGTTCGTGTTCTATACCAATCTTTGTACAGTTGAAAGCTCAAGGGCGTGAAAGCTAGGAGCCTTGTTTGGCAAACACAGCAACAGATAGACAAATTAACATTGATTGAAAACGCATTAATTGAAATGGAAATAAGAAACGTAGTTTAAGGCAGTAAACGTAGTTTGGGGCAGTATCGGGAAGAAGCTAGCCAAGGCAGTGGGCAAAACATCATATAGAGCTGATTTATGAGTACGTTTTGTGCAAGTTTACAGATACAAACGAAGATCAAATAGAGACGACTAAACTTGTGGTTATCAACATGAACTTTACCAGTGTACCAACAAATATAACAACATCGTTATCTGCCAAACAGTGTCATGCCAACCCAGTTTACTTTTCATTGATGGCTGTAATCCACATTCTTACCTTCGTGGTGAACTTCCTAACAGCAGTAGCGATATGGCGGTTACCAGGTCTTGAAGGGAATAAGTATCACCTCGTCGTACGAACGTTGATCGTGAGTGATTGCCTGATTTCGTTGTCAAGTCTTCCGATGTCGATGATATCGTTCATCAACTGTGGATGGGTTGGAGGAGCTGTTGCTTGTATTCTGTCTGCGTTCTTTTCAACAGCATTTCTAAGCTGGTCTGCAATGATTGTAATCGTCATGTGTGTGATGCGATTTTTAGCGGTTAAGAAGCCTTTACTTTACCGCAACAGCGTCACTTACCTTCGTATTAAGAAAGGTCTTGCAGTAGCTTTCATATGGGGAGTTCTACACTTGGCTCTTCCTCTTGCAGGACTTGGAAAATTTCGTCTTTACGAACGCGGTTACTTTTGCGCGTTGGATATCACACCAGTCCGTCCCAAAGACAAAACCTTGGTTTATATCACGGTAACAGAAGGATGTCTGGTGATGACAGCGCTGGTGTATTTCAGTATTGTAGTGATGGTTCTGGTGAAGAAGAAGAGAAGAGTTAGTACTAGTTTGTCGGTCCAGCAGCGGAGAGGCGTAGGGGTAGAAGCGATAAACAAAAGAGAAGGTGGTTTTGCGACCATGACTTTTGTTATTGTCTTGGTGTATTGCATCTGCTATGTCCCTTTCTTGGTAAGTCGATAACATTAGAGCTGGTTTCGCTCGAGTTGGAAAAGATATGGCCAAATTCGTATGCAGGGGCGTACCGTATGTCTTACAGCAACCGTAACTACGCGTTTTGGCTTAGATGAATTACTGATTAAGAGAATGAGACGCCAATTATGTCTACCGTGTAAGTGCTGTAAGTCAGTACCGTACTGTTTCCAACTCTTACGAAAACCGATCTATCTGTGGTATTACATGTGATATTGCAAATTTACTTGTATTACTTTACATCCTACTTATTTACTTATACCCCATTCACACCTAAACGTGTTTAGTTAAACTGTGTTTTCATTAGGAAAAACATTGAGAAACTAGAAACCTACAATATAATAAAACTTTCTAAAATATTATCAGAGCAAGACAAAGGATAGTTTTCACAGTACATTATTTTACCAAAGATTGTGCAGTGTTCGTAGATGGTTTTTCAAACCTGTTTAGTTAAACCACTTTAAGACATGTTTAAGCCTTGGTGTGAATGGGGTTTTAGTTTCTTATTACTTGTACTAAAGTTCCCCATAATCAGTATAGACTGAAGCCTGGTGCAATGCGCACTCTATCATGGATGGCTTAGGCTATATCCCTTTGCTTGCGCATTTTTCAGTAAGGGCACAGAGGAGGATCCACTAGTATCCCAAGTGCCTTTGCACACTTATTATTGTTTTCTTTAGCTTTCACCGGTTTATTTGGATATTTTTGTAACGATACTTCATATGGTCATTAAATTTGCGTTCATCATGACTTCAATTTCAACGCAAAAAGTCAAAAAAAAGCGTCAAAAATTTAAATAAAGAATTCATATCCTTAAACTGAAGAAATTGGTTATCGTACATGTTCAGGCATCCATTATTTCAAAACGTATTTCCTTTGAATACGAAAGACATCAGTTGGTACTCGGTGGTGTAGGCGATAGCTATTCTAATGGTATTCACTATTTTACTGGATTGACAAGTGTAGGCGTATTTGGAAGAAAAAGAATATACAGTTTCGAACCGCGGTTAGTATGGATGACAGACGCAGGTGCACAATAAACTTAAACCCACATGTCCTATTTACGAGTTAAAAAACTTGATGAACACACCCGAACGAAAGGTGTCATGTGATATGAACAGCACCCAGTATGATAATATAAAAATAGATTGTTTTGCCTTGCGTTTCATTCACAAACATTAACGATCAAAAAACTTTCATCGAAGTAAGACAACACGGTTTTTCTTTTGGTAGATAAAATTTGTGTCCGGCTTAATGTCTACAGGACTGGCTGTTATTTACATTAGAAGCCAACACGACAATTAGCCAGGCTCCTCCTTTAGTTCAAAAGTAGAGTATTGAGTTTTAGAGTTATTTGGAGATAGAAATGGAAAAAAAAGTACAATGAAAATAGTAATGAAGTGAGGCTTGTGTACTTGGTGTAAAAGCCTGATTTCTATATTTTGGAGAAGAAGCCGCCATGTTGGTTGATATAAAAAGCCGAGAAACAAACAGGAAAATATYAAATACAATCATATCAACATAATATTTGCTTTAATTTAGTTGTTTTTTTTAATTAATCAAGTCATAATCCTTCAGAGAGAAAATTTTCCTCACTTTCATCGCAGGGATAAAAAATCGAAAATTCCCAGAATTACCTTGCTTTAAAAGGTCTTTCTCTGCCCTTCTTCTGGCTTTAGGCCAGCAAGCTGCTCAGGCCCGCCTACGGAGGGGAAAAAAAACAAATTCTGCTTGCAGGGTAATGAGTTACATCCTTGCATTTGTCGGTATCGACATTGTAACTTTAGTTTTATTTTTAAAATTACTCAAGTTATATTCTTTTCGCGAAGTAAGGTTGGCAAAAGCATTTTCTCGGATGATTTTCTAATAAATGCTATTTTTAGTATCATATTACCAAATTAGAGAAAAAAGAAAACAATTTTCGATTTTAATTTCTTTAATATTAAATATATGCCGCGGCGTAAAATAACAAAATATGGGGAAGGTTCCTTGAAGCGGACGGAAGCGGTAGGTCATTTGTTTTATTCATTTATTTTGATATTATATTCCGCGGTTAAACAAGGAAACAGGATCTTGGATCAGAAGGTTTAAAAAATATTTAATTTTGTTAAGCGCGGTTCTTTTTGGTTTGTTTGTATCAATCAGATTGGGACCACAAACACGTTAGCCGTGTAGGATCTTGTTATCAGTTATCATTGATCATATTTAATGCTGTCTATTTATATCAAGGACTTCCGGTAAAATTAAGGGTTGACAAGAAGTGCGAGGACCGGGAATGCCTTTCTACTCAGGTGCGTTCACTTCGCACGCCCACACCAGCCACAAGAGAAAAACAAACATCGACTGAGGAAAGTTGTTCTATGAAATAATAAGTAAAAGAGTCAGAGAGTTAAAGAGTCAGAGAGTTAAAGAGTCAGAGAGTCAAAGAGTCAGAGAGTCAAAGAGTCAGAGAGTCA